AGCCAGAAGTGGCTGGTAAGCAGAGTGAGGAACCCCCTAGAATCCCAAGTCCCCCACGCAAGAAGAAGAAGACATAGAAGGGTGATGACACCTCTGTGAAGAAGAAGGCAAAAAAGAGACCCGTAGAAGAAGAGGGCCCAACTGTACCTCTGCCAAAACCAAAGAAAAGAAAAACAAAGAAGGCTGAACCGATAGAGCCTGTGATCACAGAACATGTGGTCACCGAGGCCATTGCAGAAGAAAGCCCGGTAGAGGCTACAGCAACACCCAAGCGCAGAAGGTCCTCAATGTCTCCCCAACAGAACAACTTCAGGATGTTCTTTTGAATATCCAGAAGGAGTTCAAGGCGCCAATTGATCAAACTCAGTTGGGGACAGAAGTCATTCTAGATGACGAAGAAGAAGAGGCAGAAGTGTTAGGTGAGGGAGCAAAAGATGCCGAAGGCACACAACCAAGCCCACCTCCCAGTGCAATCCACATGTCTAGAGGCCTTGTTCTAGAGAGAACCTCTATTGAAGCATGAACGCACATGCCGAACCCTAACCAGCCTACCACCGCAGAGGACATTCTTTCGTCGTCTGTGGAGCGCACACCTGGGCAACCACATCATACTCCTTCATCCTCTCAAAAGGATGAAGGTTTTACAAAAAGAGTCCCTTCGTCCATGGACTCGATAGAACCAAGAGAGGCATCCGTTGCCTCTCCTAACAAGAGTGTTCAACCAGAACGTGCTTCAGAGGCACAGGTGAGGATCACAGAGGTAGAGGGTCTAGAACGCCCTCTGTCTCCACTAGATCAAACTGTCAGGATAGGCTCTGAAACTACCGGACATGAGATCTCAAAACACCGGTAGGCTCTCCTCAAAAAGATGTGCGAGGATCCGGTGGAAGTCCCCGAGCAGGCTACGAAAAACCAGCCGCTGAGGGCGCCTCAAGCTCCGAGGCCAAAGGATCACCATGTGTTGGTGGTCCGAGTTCCCAGAACGACTATGTGACAAAGGGGGAGCTTAACACCTTTGCCACAGAATTGTTCAAAAAGATGGACAAGTTGAAAAGCTTGTTCATCTCGCGCTCAATGCCACAAGACCTCACGCCGCTCACAGAAGCTCTGAAGGAGTTATCCTCCTCAACTGCAGAATTGAAGTCTACTTTAGTAACCCTTCAGAGCTCTGTCCTTCAAAAGGATGACTTAGCAGAAGCCTTCCAAGCGATGACGCTAAATCCCTCCTCCATCAAGACGCTAAAGGAAGAACTCACAGAGATGGCCGCAAAATTCGCAGCCGATTTCGTCTCTGCAGGCTACACAGATTACTCTTCATTCAGAGACGAAATCAAGGAGATGTTCTCCTCTGCAGTCACCTACGGCCTTGACACGAAGACCTCAAGGGCCAACATCAATGATTTGGCAACTCGTAGAGAGCTGGATGCTATGGTGGATGCCCTAGGGGATGTTGTGACCGGCCATATCGGAGCACTTGTCACAGAGGCCCAAGCATCAAATGCTCTCATCAAAGACTGTACGTCAAAGCTTGTAAAGGAAGGTGACCTTCTTCGAGCAGAGATCTTCAGCACCGTCCTGAACCGTCTCCAAGCTTAAATGGGCCATAGAGCTAGATGTGATGAATGCCTCTGTAGGTGCTGAAAAGGTGATCGAGAAGATGTACAAAGCGGCCACAAAAATCTTGCGTCATTTGA